TTTGAATTGTGTTTTCCTTTTTTATTTAATGCTTGCACTATTTTAATTTTTACGTCTTCCGATAGTTCTTCGTCAAAAAAATGATAATCCAACAATTATTTCATTGAAGTACCAAAAATGCTCAGAAAAAGATTTTATCGCTACTTTATTTACATACTTATTAATATTATTATATTGCTTTAGTTCTCGTAGTAGTTCAAGGTCATTATTTGATGCTTTTGTTGGATATGAATTTTCGAACCAATATCTTATATAAATTCTTATATAAAACAAATGAACTGAAATACCGAATACTCTTTAATTCAGAAACTGTTAATTTAAATTGCGTAAGGAAAATATAAATTTTAAAACAATATTTTATTTTTTCCATTCGTCTTGCTCTATGAATTGCTCCTGTTGGATGGATTATAATTTTATTTTTGTACGGTTTTCCAATGAATAACAAATACAGTTCAAACAACTCTTTATAATCATTCCGCGAATGATTTAAGTTTAATTTATTTTCACAAAATTGAAAAATTATATCTATATCTGGTGCTAATATTTTTAACATAACATCATCTGTCAAAACATTACTATATATATCTTTATTTATAATCACCCAGCTATTAGAAAATCTTTTTGAATCGAACTATGTCTCTGGAACAGTTGATGCAGGCATTAATTTATCAAACACTTTACTTATGATTATCTCATGTATGTGGTGCCTACAAGCAATAACTCAATAGTTGTTTATCTAGTTGTTTTTCAATTAAGTACGTGCACCGTTAAGTCTACCAGTGTTAGAAAAGCTGTAGTATCAAAACACATCATATTTATGCGTTCAATCAAGTTCCAATCGACTAATAATTTAATAACAGCATTTGCTTGAGATTGACCAGTAGAATTCAATAACTGTGGCACCCCCAAAAGTTTAGTATTGCCATCATCAGAAACTAATACCGCTAAACGCTCAACGCAATAATTTTTTGTTTTCAGACGGCAACATTTTTCCATCCCAATGGATCATTAAACAAGAATCTGGTTGTAAAGATTTTATTATTTTATCAGTAATAATTTTCCTATTGGAAATACGAGCTCTCCGTATTGAATCTTTACTAACAGAAAAATGATTAATATTTTTATCAGTAGAAGTTAATACAGCTGCCAAAATATACGTGGCATTAAGGTTAGAAACGTTTGTTCTATCTAATGTTGACGTCACTTGTGTTGTCAAAATATTACAACGCGTTTTACTTGTAGTTGGCCGATCGAGATGACATACAAAATCTGAACAACTAGTATCTTGTAAATTATTGTAAGCGCTAGAAAGACTCTAATTTTTTTCGTGTTTTCCGTTCAAGTTCTTCAAAATCATTACCTTTCATATTTAGAACCGAACGAGTAGTTCTAATGGGGATTTTGTTTAATTTTGAAGTTGTAGTTCTAGAAACTGATTTAAAAATAAATAATTCACCGGTCATTGTTCAAAAAATTGGTCTTTAGATAATTAGCGATAAAAATATCAAAAATGGTGTCTAATGACTCCAGAAATGTAATTTCTTTTTTTTAAACTTTTTCCACTGCGTATAAAGAAGTTTTATTTGTGAAACTATTTTACATTTAAGTTTTATTGGGCTATTAGTTTTTGACCACACTTGTATTAATTGCTTAGAACACAGATTAACACTAATAGATATTGTGTTTTTGGCCACACATTGAAAATATAAAAAATGAGCTAGAACAGAACCTTTTGATGGAAGCTGTTGACTAATAATGTTTTTTTTTTTTTGGCGTAATCATAAGGCGATGAGTTTTGATCTTTGGAGTTTTGGAATTTTCCATTATACACTAAAATTAAATTGAACATGAATTTTACTATAAAATCATTTTATAATTGCCGTCAAATATAATTCAATATATTGATTAAAAATTAAATTAAAATGGTATTTTACGAAAAAAAAAAAATGATATGTTAAGGTTTTAATTATAATTTATATTAAAACTGTATATCAGTTTTATATAATTATATTATTTCAATAATTATATTTTTATAAGTTATAATTATATCAATAATGAATTTCATTACAACTATATGCAAGTTATTTTTCCTTACCTAATATTATAATGACTACTGGAAATAAAATTATGATTAAAAATTATTTAAATAAAACGTTCAATAGAGTACTATTAAAATCATTTAAACTTGTGACTTCACAAAGGTTTGCTGATCACGACTGATAGATGTTAAATTGACATTAGATTAAACTCGATAGCATTATTGTACATTTTTCAAAATTACAGATAACACAATCTCTAGTATAATTAGATATGCATAAAGCGAAATAGTTACGGTACTTGAAAAAATATGAATCTTTAACGAACGAGTTATTAATAAAACCCAACTTGAATTTTTCCTTTTTCATAATTTTAATTAAATTTATATTGATGTATAATTTTATTATAACATAAAACTGTATTCTTATTACATTATGTAAAGACAATCGTCAGTCATTCATATTTTCAACATCGTATATTTTAGCTTATGCATTATAAAACAATAGACAAAGGCGTAAAGCATTTGAGTAAATGTATTTGAATAAAAGTATTCAAATACTTTCATTGGTATTGAATAGTATTTTTAAATACATTTAATAAAAAGTATCTGAGTAGTATTTTAAATACAATTATTTAGTATTTAATACTGTTTAATATTCAGTACTATTAATATACTTTTTTTTTTTTAATTTGCTAACCGTAACACAGCAAGCAAATTAAACTCAGTCAAAATGAAAATTGAGAATAATTCTCTGTTATTTTATATGTTACATTATAGTATAACATAATTATTGTGCTTATCTAAATGCTATTATGTATACATCTATTTTTAATACATCAGTTGAACCCACAATAGCCTATTGCAGGTTCAAATGATTTACTCTATTGTCAATAAGACATACTTTACGGGTTTTTACACGTGTACTAATATTTATTTTTTTCACTGATTAGTCTCCAATAATTAATTTTATTTACCTCTAACAAAAAATATCGAAAATAATAAATGAGTTCTCTTAATTTAAGAGTACTCAATATTTGACTCAAATTACCCTCTTGGTAATTATTTAGGTGGAACCTTTTGCTCTTAGTTAAAATAAAAACATTATTATTATTTTTTAATTGTATTCTTAGTATTTGAAATACTTTTGTAAAGTAATTGAGTATTACTCAAATACTTTTGTATGAAAAGTATTCAAATAGTATTTTAAATACATTTTTTTTTAAATATTTGAATATTATTTAAAATACTTTTTAAAAGTATTTTTTGCAACTATGACAATAGATATAGATATTTCTAAAGTAGTTTTAAAAAAATATCCCGTCACTTATGGTATTTAGTATCCGAAACAGCAGCATTGGCATTTTTTGATAATAATTTAATATTTAGAAGATACAAATGATTGAACACAAATTATTTAATGTACCTTGTGAATAGTAAATGGTACAAAAATATGTTAGATAAAAATTATATATGGAAAATTTAATTTAAAACAACTTTTGTGAACATTTTTTTTTGCCGTGGACGGTTTATAAAATAAATCAAGATAATGGTTTCAACGGTAAAAATATAACAATTGCATATTCATTTTTTTTTAGGATAAATAACAGTTTTTCGAAAATTTTCGTTGAAATCTTTTTTATAGAAAATATATATTATATCTACAAAAAAAGTCTTTATAAACTTTTTTGTAAAAGTTAATGTTTTTGAGATAGACAAAAAAACTATCCATGGGGTATCATTTTTAACCCTTTTGAGCACACCATTTTGGGCGTTTATTTTTTTGGTGTATTCGAACAATTTTAAGTTCATAATTAACAGTCACCTTAGTGTTCGTGAGTACTTCAGACAACCTACAGAACTTGTATAATACAAGTGGTAAGAACATAGCAATAAATGTTCTTACACTATAAAATACTAATTATTTGAGAACAATATACAATTAAAAAAAAAAAAAAGACATTATTTATATTCCGTGAATATTTACAATAAACGAAATCTTAAATGATATTTTAAAAGTGATATAATTATAAATTATATCATCCATATGCGATTGAAAAAAATTTACTTCATAGTCAGATTCAAATTAAACAAAATAAATTATTGATCTATATCAAACAATGTGGAAAATATGAAAATTTAAATGATATATTCGTATATGGAACTCATATGAATCATTATTTAAAGACAAAATATGTATTTTTAATTAATATGTGATTTCACTCAATGTAAAAAAAAAGATTCGCTACCAAAATTTTTCAAACCAAGATTAATTATACTATCTCTTAAATATAAATTAGAGCGGAAATCGATCGATTAGTTAAAAGCAAATTAACTAATTTCTTTTAAATACAATGAATGGGACTATCATTATTCTATCCTCATAGTCCGAATACTAAAAGCCGTCAAGACAGTTAAGATCTGTGGCAATACGTTGTTTTAACAAAATATAATTATATTTTTATCAAATATTAATTGTTTGGACAAAAATAATAATAAAATGAATAAAACATGATTTAACGTAAAGTTTATTGGATGTATTTTATGAATTTGTTGATTTTAGAGGAATATTTTTTCAGTGCATTGACGCAATCAAAACGCTGTTGTTTTCAAAAACATATTCTTTATAGGGTTACTAATATATTTATATGACGTATTAATATTATACTACACATTTGATAAATATTAAATATCAATAAAATGATATAGTTTTGATTAAAAAAAAAATTAAGATTTTAAGTTGAATCATTGTTTTACAACTTTTCAAAACCCAGATATATTTTCATAACTTCTTTATTTAAAATATAATTTATATACATATAAGTTAAATGTGATCGTTTAATAATTAATATTATTTGTTCAACCACATAAATAGATATTTTTTTATTCGACGTTTTAACAATAATATGCCATATATTGTGATTTATTAAGTATAATTTGCATTAAAAACACAATTCGCTACACGATTATATGCCATAAACTTATTACATGAAAAATAGTTTAAACGTAGAAATTATAATTAATTAAGTTGTCATAACCACTATAACCATTTTATTACGACTTCTTTTTCATTCATAAACAGACAGTTTGGTATTTTTATTGATTTTCATAATAACTATTAAAAATTATAAAGTGTAACATTACTTTTCTAGATTCTTAAAGAAAAATAAAGTAAGTATTAATAATTTCCAAGTAAAAAATTAGTTTATAGTTATCCTTATATATTGAACATTCTATAAAAATCTGTGTATGCTACAATTTTATTTTAATAAACTTTTTACATAAATTTATTAAATTCATTATTGCTTAATTATCAATTTGTATATTTTATATGTAAATGAGTACATGCTGTAATTTTCAATTATTTTAAAAAATAAAGTTGATATAACAATTTCAATAGAATTTTAGCTTCGATGCGAAGCTAAGAAGGTATTAATTTTACCATGATATCTTTTTTTTTTTTTATGTCTGTTGCTACTTTTTCTCAGCTTTCACTGGACCGATTTCTTTCAACAATACGTCAAAAGATCGCAAATCGTATCTAGTTGAAGACATTACCCTTAAAAATTGGAAAATTTCCGTCGTTCCCCGCAAATGGGGGAAATATCCAAAAAAATTACAAATTTAAAAATCGACAAATTTTGTCATTTTTTTCACTTTTTTTTCTTAAAACTTCCATAACTTTTTCAAAAATCAACAAATCAACATAATTTTTTTTTAAACTAAAACCTTAGATATTTTCCTTTCATTTGATATAATTTTTTTGAAAATTTAACACTTAACCTGCTCATGGGGGGGGATTTAAAATTGCAACTTTTTTACAAAAACTAACTTTTTCAACTTAATTTTTGAAAATGTTCCGGAAATACTGCGTCCTTTAAACATATATCAAATTAAAGCTTATTTTATGTACTATAAAATGAAAAAAAAAAATTTGTCCCGACACTTTATCTTCTGCATGTAAACGGTTGCCGTAGTTAAAAAAACACTATTTTTGTGTTAAAATTTTCGATTTTCAATTTTTAATTTTCAACTTAAAAATGCTATAACTTTTCGAAAAATGCATGTATCAGCACAATTTTTTTTTTCTAAATACATTATAAGTACATCTTCCATTTGACATACTTTTTATTAAAATTAGACAATTTCCCCTTATATAGGGGGGGTTCAAACTTTGAAACATTGTATAAAAAATAGAACTTTTTCAACTTAATTTTTGAAAATGTTCCGGAAATACTGCGTCCTTTAAACATATATCAAATTAAAGCTTTTTTTATGTATTATAAGATGAAAAAAAAAATTTGTCCTGACACTTTATCTTCTGCATGTAAACGGTTCCGGTAGTTAAAAAAACACTATTTTTGTGTTAAAATTTTAGATTTTTAATTTTCAACTTAAAAATGCTATAACTTTTCAAAAAATGTATGTATCAGCATAATTTTTTTTTTTCTAAATACATTATAAGTACATCTTTCATTTGACATACTTTTTATTAAAACTAGACAATTTCCCCTTATATAGGGGGGGGTTCAAACTTTGAAATATTGTATAAAAAATAGAACTTTTTCAACTTAACTTTTGAAAGTGTTCCGGAAATACCGCGTCCTTTATAGATATATAAAATTAAAGCTTATTTTATGTACTATAAAGTAAAATAAAAAAATTTGTCCCGATACCTTATCTACTAAGTGCAAATTGCTGTCGAAATTTAAAAAAAAATGTAATATTTGCAATAAAAATCACCTTCTATAAGGATGTTTTTTGTACTTAAAACAGCCATAACTTTTTCAAATATTAACAAATCAAAATAATATTTTTTTATATTGAAACCTTAGGTAATTTCCTTTCGTTTGATATAATTTTTTTTTGAAAATCTAACACTTATTCTGCTTACAAATAAAAAAATTTGTCCCGACGACCTATCTTCTATGGGCAAATGGCTACCGTATTTTTCTATTAAAATTCTAGGTTTTGTATTTTATTTTATTTTGAAATATCTGATTAGGAGAATACATGGTGAAAATAGCAACCGCATTCAAAAATATGCTATTTTTCTATTAAAATTCTTGGTTTTGTATTTTATTTTATTATAAGGGGATTACACTGATTTTCATAAATATTATATCAATCTAAATGACATAGTATAAAAAATTAATCATATTTAAATTTTTTTGTTTCTTTGAAGTCGAGAAAAATAACTTTAAAATTTGAACTAGCTAAATTTCCATTTTTATTAAGTGACGAATGAGACGTACGGTTTTTGAGACGGTAACACTTGGGTCTTTCACGACTGTGACACTGAATTTTTTTTAATTCTTTTTGAGTTAAAAAAAAATGTTTAACTCATTTGATTTGTATCTCATTTAGATTCAATAACTTCAATAAATATCAAGGATTCCATTACTGTAGTCTCCTCTCGTAAGAAGAAATTCATATTAATATTATTTTACTATGTGGTTTTTTTTTTTTTGTAGCTATCATTTATTTTCTCAGCTCTCATTTGACCTACTTTTTTGACAAATTGTTTTCTATGTTATTTCTCATCTCTGAATTTGTTGACAACGTGCACTGAACTAGTAAAATTACCTCCAATCAATTATCGCTACGATTGATAAGTTATTGATTTTTAAGTATTTTTTTTTTTTTACAGTCAATCATGTTACAAACAAATGTAGCTAAACACATTCTTTTTCAATTGATCGTTGTGTATATAAGCAATTCATATACGTCAACTTCAAATAACATAGAAGTAGATACAAGTAAGTAATCTAACATCTTGGCGAAACATTTTGTTTGTTTCAATGGGGAAACACGAAAACATACACTTGTTTTGGCTTAAACACTGACTTGTGTATTGCGAGTGAGTGTTTTAATTTGGGCGCATAGACCAACCCCCCGACCGAACGCAGTGGTTTAATTTAAAGATTAACATGGTGTGATAGCAAAGTTACATTTAAGAATTGTACCGCCGGAGTACTCGATTCTTTCGGCTCCCGTAACCGTTTTATTTAGTTTATCAAAGAAGTTTTTTTCTGCATCGCTGTTTTTTTAAGTCTAAAAGAAAAGAGTACTGTCATTTTACGTTAATTGATAATTTTAGCTATGATGTAAAATATTTAGAGTTTATACAACACAGTGTTTTTGCACATTTGGTCACGTAATGAAAATATTTGTTTTACTTTGTTTCAAATCTGGGCATTTACGTATTAAAAATGGAAGTTAAGTTCAATTAACGTTTTATCTTAACTAGGTAACATTATAAGTTACTTAAGTTTTATTTTTTAATAAGTTAAGTTAGAGATTAGTAATTTTGATTATTAAACTATTTAGTATAGTGTTGAAATAAAATAAAATTTTACCTAAAAATTTAATATAATGAAAAATTATTAGTTATAACACACGTGAAAGTATAAAACTGTCTACAGAGTGATTCATCACGAACCATATATTAATATAAAAAAGAATAAAATTGAAAATTCTTTTTGATAAATATTTTCTCAATTTATCAAAAAATCAAACGTCCCTTTCAACCCAACGTAAGCTATTTAATGGTCACGGAACAAATTTTGGAAATTATTTATTTTTTATACGATCGGCATAATTGCGGCCCGTCCTGGACACTGCCGTTAGGCATATCTTCAGGCGGCCCACGCCGTCTCTATAACTGACACCACCGTGTTATGACTCAGCCCGAAACTAATCAAGTGCTAGGTCACAACACGACGTGGCCTCCCCGTTAGCCGGACCTAAGAGTCGGATCCGTTGCCCGGGTTGCACCACGGGGATAGGACTTCGCTAAAGGTTGCGTTAAAACTCACAAACATATACACAACATATAACATAAAAATAGTTTTATGACACTGATCGACACAGCTCCCTCTGTCCCACGCCTTTTCGTTGAACGTCTAAATAAGGCACCATGCCTCCCGGCTACTTAATATCAGATCTACCATAGACCCGATGTCGAACATGGATACTAAATGGGGATTCTAATGCATCCCGTTCTTGGGCCCAGGCGTCGCATCGGAAGAGGATGTGCAGAGCATTGTTTGCCTCTGCCGGGCGATTCGTACAGTGTTTGCATGGCGTCCACTCTCATCCTATACGTATATTTCATTAACAATACTCTAAACAAAATTTTAGATTTCAAGTCGCATAAGCTAAATTTAAATATCCAGTTAATAAATAAATCGATTTTGAGTTTTTATTATAAAAAACTACAACTATCTTACATGACGAATCCCTTCAACAGTTTAAACTGTATTAATAAAATTTAATTGACATGATAACTCAACTAGAATCTTAACTTCAAGAATTGTGTAGACTTTCATATTGTTTTGATTGAAATTTTAAATTTTAGTAAGTTTTAAAATAATTTTAAAATTAATTGAATATTATTATAATTATTTAATAGTAAGTAATGAGAACAATTATTGTTCTCCGTATATCAAGAAGCATTTTAACTAAATTACAAAGTTATATGGATTTTCATGAATTTTTAGGGGTATCAATATAGCCCACTCCCCCTTAATTTTTTTGCAAGATTCAAGCACGAACATGATTTTTTTTTTTCAGAACTGTTGTATATTCTCACTCACAATATAAGTAAGCCATTTAAATAATGTTATTTGCGATATTTTCATCTATAAATACATTAATTATTTAATGATTATTCATATTTTATTTGTAATTTTTAGATGACCTACTTATGTCATATGATAATAAAGGTAAATAAATTCTATCAACATTTAGTATTAACTTTAACTTTTAATAAATTATAAAAACAGTTAGATAGAAGTAGACCTTAGTCCCAATAACTTTTTAGAAATTATATGCATTGTTGTATAAAACTACAGTAGCGTAGAAAACATCCATGATTCGAATATTATTATGTAGTCAAAAGCAAATTTCGTTTTACTATGTATGAAAAACATTTATACATATTGGAAACATGGTGGGCTAAGTGATTCAAGTGTCAATAATTTAAAATAAATTTTCATTAAATAAAACTACTTTAATTACTCATATCAACACTGTTAAAAAAATATCAAACTCATTAATTATTTTTAAATTGTAGAAAGAAGTATACAAAAATAGAGGTGTTAATGTCTCCTTATAGAAATATAGAATGATTTTAAATGATTTCCCGAATAAAAAACTATTCATTAATCACTCGCCCAGTGTCGCAAAATGTTTTACCTATTGTTTGATATGTTTAAAACGTTGAAACAAGCAAAAAAAAAACCCAGCACAGGGGGGTCGCGGCACAGTTGTGACGTGGTATAGTTGGATCAAGTATAATGATATCTGACAGTGATTAAAATCACTATCAAAAATAAACGCTTCGATGCAAATCTTTAGATAGTGTTTAATTTTAAAAAAATTGGTGTTTTATTCCAAAAGCTACTTGATCTGCTGGTTCCTTATTAATATCTCGAT